AGCCATATGTTTTGTCCTTTGAATAAAAAAAGTAGTACATATCAACTTTCCGTTCTAGGATATAATTTTTTACGAAACTTCATAGTAAAAGTGGCACAGCTTTAGCCGCAAAGGGAGTTCCTAAGGGAAATTGCATTGTCTATATTAACAGAAGTGCAATCTAAAGGTATAAACCACTTATGTAGTAATGGAAGACAACAATAAACGAATAAACGACCGTTGCATATACAGCAATGGGTATAGTTAATTGCATACTATTGTATCTTTATTTCCTATTTCAGTATATTTTCCTTTCAAAATGAGTAAAGAATGCAGCATAATTATTGAACATTTTTATCAATTACAGACAAATTAAGTTGTATGCCACAAACATGATAAAGTAAAAATTTATATACGGTTTGAAGGTAATTACATCTCTGCTGCCCCCTTTCATTATTCTTTACATTTGTGTTAAGGTTTATAGTATAGATTATTGGTTCTGATGGAAAATGTGTAAGGAACTGCTAGTGCTGCAATTTTATGTTACAAATGAAACTGGATCTTCGAAAATAGAACAAACAGCTAATAAAAATAAATAAGAATACACATTATCACATTAAATAATCCCAACACAGTCAAACGAAGACATAATCAACCAAACAAAAAATTATAAGACAGGAAATTAAGACTAAGCAAAAAAACTCATGACAATCAATCAATAGACATAGATCCTACCACTGCGTCAAGTTTGATACGATATTTATCCACTCGAGACAGTTAAATTATTAAGTATAAAGAGCGAGGCTCCACGAGCGTAATACATATTTATTTATTGGATGGTCGAGTGTGGATAAATAGAGTATTGCACGAGAGTTGGTGGTGGGATGTGTTTCTGTTATGCTTTTAGACAATATACAGATTTAATATTTCTTTTTCGAATGATCTGCAAAAAAAAGTTCTTTATATGTGACGTCATCAAGCCTTTTTTTCACAACGTTATATTAGAAAATTCAGAGGAAAGCTAGAACATCTGACGTCATTATCGGATTTTGACAAATCTAGAACCACACGTTAATTTAATAAAAATAGCCAACAGGTCAGGAATTGGATAAATCAGATAAGAATTAGAAAAATCTATTTCCATAATGCAATTTAAGTGAAATTAACAAGAACAGAAAACTGTAAAAGATTTACTTTTTTTAAACCGATTTACAAATCTCCAATCGATCAACAATTGTTAGTGTGATCATCCGCAATCTACTTAAATTATTCTTTTGTTAATACATACCATGCGTCATTTACAATATTCATGTAACTATTTTTCAACAATGAACAAAAGTTGATGCATTAATGCGATTAAGTAACACGAGGATGGTTAAGAGTATTTTCCTGTAATATTCAATCCAGTTTTATATTTCATAGATGTTTTCGCTGTATGCCTATTGTGTTAAAATAAAAAAAAAATAAACCTCAATTTTCAATAAAAAGTAGGCTTGGGTTTCCAATGTTTATGATTAATTAACCCCCTTTACGATCCCCACAAACACATCGTTGACATAATTGGCAAACCATATAATCTTAATATATATATATATATATATATAAGTCTAAATTGAAAACAACGTTCAAACCTATGATTGCGTTGGATAAAAACCGCAATTTTTATACGTGTGCATGCAAAACAAATTTCTTGTTAGAGGGGTCTAAATACAGCACAAACAACATTTTCCAAAAGACCAAAAAAGTGAAAAAGTATATTTTAACAAAACGCATTTGACTAACAGGTCGAACAACAAATGTTCTTAAACCCTGCTGACTGCCATTGGCGATTGCCAAATAAACGGATCACCGATGTAATAAATGGATCTTAATTTTAAATTTAATACTAAACAGAAAACAATAAACTTGCGGAAAAGATGATATACCGCAAACAAAAGGTGCACAGGTTTTTGTACACCATATCCGGATTTCGACAAATAATGTCTCTTCAGTGATGTTAGGAATCGAAACGGTATTTGGAAAGCCATACAATTTACCTCAATTTAGGATAGACTCTTGAATTTTGAGGAGTCAAAATAGGATGAACGGATCATATAAACCCGAATATATATACATAAAACAAGTCTAAAAGGGTACAACATCACCAAAAAATAATAATAAAATGAACAAATGTTAAATATTTCGAATAACAGATATCTTTCATCAGTATGATCACTATGTAAAATGTATCACATCAATCTAGTCTGATTATAACCATCTTGAAATTTATACAATAAAACAGTCAAAACTGAACATCATAGAGACGCTTGTGCAATTCTAATCTTTTTTAAACATGACGTAGGTTATGTAGCTATTTACAACAGACTGCAATGATATGCTTCAAATAAAAATAGTAATGTGCGATATGAACTGGTACAACTCTAAAATTTCGAAGGTGACGACTTTTAAGATGTTACAACAACGATTGCGTGGAAATACCTTCCCAATAAAATGCACTGACCGATCCAAGCTAGTATAATATTTCAAATTTGACAACGGTAGAGTAATTAAAACAGAGGCTGCGTATTTAAACATCCCAAATAAATAGCAGTTTGATAATGATTAAAAAAATAATAATAAATTTTGACTAAGGTTAAATAATTGAACGTGACTGCTTTCTTATACATCCCTCTCAAATGAATAGAACCCTGTAATTTAAACTGGTATAATTAAAAAATTCCTTAAAAGTTAAATTTCATATACAAGTCTAAATTGAAAACAACGTTCACACCTATTATTGCGTTGGATAAAAACCGCAATTTTTATACGTGTGCATGCAAAACAAATTTCTTGGTAAAGGGGTCTAAATATAGCACAAATAACATTTTCCAAAAGAACAAAAAAGAGACAAAGTATATCTTGTCAAAACGCATTTGACTAGCAGGTCGAACAACGGATGTTCTTAAACCTGCTGACTGCCATTTGCGATTGCCAAATAAAATGATCACCAGATGTAACAAAATGGATCTTAGATATTAATTTAATATCAAACAGAAAACAATAAACTTGTTGAAAAGATGGTATACCGCAAACAAAAGATGCAAAAATTAGTACATCATATCCGGATTTCGACAATTAATGTCTCTTCTGTGAAGTTAGGAATCGAAACGGTATATGGAAGGCCATATAATTTACTTCAATTTAGGATATACTCTTGAATTTTGAAGAGTCCAAATAGGATGAACGGACCATATAAACCCGAAGGCAAATTTAATACAAGCCCAAACGAAAAAATATAAACACATATAAATTGAAAACAACGTTCAAACCAATGATTGCGTTGTATATATATATGCTTATTTGAGTTTAGTATGACGTTCATTATCACTGAACTAGTATACATATTTGTTTAGGGGCCAGCTGAAGGACGCCTCCGGTTGCGGGAGTTTCTCTTTGCATTGAAGACCCATTGGTGGCCTTCGGCTGTTGTCTGCTCTATGGTCGGGTTGTTGTCTCTTTGACACATTCCCCATTTCCATTCTCAATTTTATTATAAAAAAAATCACAATGTTTGAGTTTACCTGATTTATTGCTTTATCATCGACTTTTTAATGATAACTCAGCGGTCAATAACCTACAATATGACCTTCAACGTCACAGATTATTTGTTCTTTATGTTAAATAAGCAAATATAATAAGCGACATAATGAGTATAATATTCACCGGTAATATCGAAAACAACATACTTCATTTATGATGATTTTCCTCTATTAAATTCTTAAATATTAAATCGTGATGCTAACAATTACCTTTCAGAAATAATTAAAAGATAGTATGTTTCATTCGTTTTTTTTTCAATTTTCGATCTGTACTAACATTTGACCGGAGTCTTATCGTATGTTCCGCTGTCAACCATTGTTTTGCTCCAGTATATGCAATCTATTGATGTTCAGCCTTGAAAAAGTAAATAGGAGAACTTTAAGACAACCTTTTTATTTATCATGTAATGTCTTGTTTTTCTTACAGGTCCACACCAAGGCTGCTTGTCTACTATGCTGAACAAATTTAAGCTAAGACGGTCATTTGGACCAAAAAAAAAAAAAAAAAATTATCGAGTCATGTCAGTTATGTACTGCGATAATTGTGCATGTAATCAATTTAGAACTGTTCAGTCTATGTTCAGACTGTTCAATTGTTGTTATCCATATGTAAACTGCAACAAAGTACTGAAATATCTGAAAACCTACTGAACAATACTGTATTAACTGCAAGCAAATTGTCAACAAAGTACTGAATTTACAACAACAAAGCACCCGAAAATAATTTTTAATCTTTACACCTAACAAGTGTAACGTTTTTAGTTTCAGATTCTTTAAATGCTAGTTAGATAAATTGGACATTTTAAGACTAGTACTAGTACTTGTATCCTGGATTTTATACTTTTTGACATTACATTAAAAAAAAGTATTTTCCTTTGGAGAACCACATTTCTATTTTAAGTTTAAGTACACTTTTTATTCGGGGGACTGTTGTGCATGTGTATGTTTTGATACCATACATCTAGATTGTCTGATTTGCCAACATGTGCCGAATGCGGTTTAAATGGGAATTAAACTTAGATTTTTTTGTGTCCGCTACCAATATGCAGGGGATTATTTGAATTTAAAGATGTTAAACAATCTAACCGATACCTAGTTTTGTAAAAGAAGGCATAAATTCTTTTGGTTAATAAACATTTTTAATATTCACATGTTTCTATAGAAAAGAAATGTATAACTATGGATTGAATTCAGCGTACCTTTCAAAAATTATTTTCAAAATTTAACCTTGAATTCTATACCATCAAACAAAAAAGAGCTAAATAGGTTTGTCTGATTCGTAGTTTAAATATAAGCTAAAATTGACTATTAAATTATTAAATGAAATTATTGACTTTCATTTTTCAAAATTGAGCTTATCAGATATACATGATATATGAATAATTGTCATAAATGAAATTGAAAATTATTTCTGCTATTTAATAGGACCATCATAGCTAGTCAAAAGGTCAGTTTGTAATACCGTATAAAATGCATCTAACACAGCATGCATAGAGAAGACATACTCTGTTTTGATCAAGTGTAGTCGTGGTAGCTACAAGTGTAATGGTGTGGATAAATATAGTTTTACTTTTATCAGTAGTAGTTGTGTACTCAGGTATGATTTATTTTGTTCGTGGTTTACAAAGTTGTTTTAGGAATTTTTTCTGTGCTTGATGTTTATTTTACAGATATATAGGACGAATAGAGAGAAATATCTAAGTTCTACATTAAAAATGCATTAAGTTTTATTTCCATTAAATGGTTTTTTAATCATTATAAGACAAAATTTTGAATATATTTATGTCATTCTTTTGATATTTATATTTTAAGCATATTTGAAATATATTAAATCATCAATTTTCTTTACTGGTCTCCAAGTTCGCTTCAGCCTAACAGAGGTCTATGATTTTCTGCATCCAATTTATTATGAATACCTTTAATCACATAATTTTATATGGTAAAATATATTGTGTTAACATCAAATTTAACAAGACTTCTGTACAAATATGTTTAACGAGTTAATTAATGAAACCATGACGTTACAAAAACTATTACACGATATAATGGCAGTTAAGTTTTTACAACGATAACATGACGTAACAAATACAAAAACAACATGCAAATTTAGAATAGGTATAGGGGGAGGGTTGAAATCTCAAAAAATATGTTTAACCCCGTTGCATTTTTGCGCCTGTCCCAAGTCAGGAGCCTCTGGCCTTTGTTAGTCTTGTATGCTTTTTAATTTTAGTTCATTTATATGTTTTGCAGTTTGGTATGACGTCCATTTTCATTGAATTGTACACATTTTGTTTATGGGCCAGCTGAAGCCCGCCTCCGGGTGCGGGATTTTCTCGCTGTGTTGAAGACCCATTGATGGCCTTCGGCTGTTTTCTGCTCTTTGGTCGGGTTGTTGTCTCTTTGACACATTCCCCATTTTCATGCTCAATCTTATTAATGTATATATCCTTAACATACTAGGCGCCGCAATTAAACGCTATTACCAATTAAATGAGCATTTTTTCGAATTAATAACAAACATGTCTGTTATAACATAGACACTTTTTTTGTCAATGAACGCGATTTAAAAAAATCAAGACATTTAGTTGCATGTAAAAATGATCTCAATAATATGACAGAATCTGATTATGGTTTGTAAACGAACACCCCTTCCGAGTTTTTGAGATACTTCAGTGTCATAAGCATATATCTCTAGGAAGAACAAGTTGACTATTGATCTATTGCCTACTCCAAATTTTTTACGCACTATATTGTTATCCCCAAATTATATCCGCCGTGCACCAGGTCTTTGATGATACTAATGTTTTATGAAATTGTAGGCGAGTCATTGTTAATATTGTAGGAATTCGCTACATACCAGCGCTCCCCTGGAATATGGAGGTCTAGACAGCATTAGTTAACCATTTTTTTCTGATATTATCCTTTGGATCTGAATAATTATTAAAAACGGAATGATAAGCTAATACTACATTTTCAGTTTTCCAGTTAATTTCAGTACTGTTAAGACATTTTGCTTGCAGTCAATACAGATATGTTCAGTCTATGTTCAGACTGCTGAATAGCTGCTATTTATCTGTTCACATCATCGTCATACTCAGTTGTCTCAAATGCTACTGAACCGTAGTGAATTGACCGCAGTGGATTAATCTGAAAATTGACTGAAAAGCTGAACATGACTTAATGAATAATTTTTCAGACATGTTAAAATCACAATGACCGTTTCAGACTAAATTTCATTTACTATTGCTGGAATCTTATACGTTGTATGTGTCGGCATATTATTGCAGTTTTTTAGAATTAAAATTCCATGATCTGAGAGTAAAGTGTCCATTCTATAGGTTGCACTTTGTAAATACAGCTGTTTCGCAAACCACGCCTCTTTTGTGGTGATATATATTGTATTCATAGATATATTGTTTTGTTTACCTGCTAGTTCCCAGATATAATTTCTATGTTTCATCTCGTAAAGACATACCTTTGAAAGGTTACCAGACTAAATACACATGAATAGCGTGAAAATTGAAATTGAATTCTTAGGAAGACCCACAGAGAAGGGAAGGGTAGAACAGATACTTAGTATAAGTTTAAACTCTAAGAAGTTCGGGACATATAGATGTTGAAAATATGCAGCGCAGCCCTTTATTTTGACCTTTGAAAAAAATAGTAGTGCCTATAAACTTTCGATTCTCGGATATAATTTTTTTTACGAAACTTCATAGTAAAATTGGTACAGTTTCAGCCGTTAAGGGAGTTCCTATGAGAAATTATGTTGTCTATATTTATTGAAGTGCAACTTTTAATAAACATCTGAATTAACGGTAAAATTCAATCAAGTTATCTTCATTAGAAAAACTAAACTACATACAAAACGTTCGTTGTTTGCGAGGCTGTCGGATTAGGGTTCATTTTAAATGTATTAACATACATGACATAGTTGCATTAGGTAAACTGGTGAGCATGTCGCTCTGATTAACGCACGTGAAACTATGCGTTGTGAACTGACTGTTATATATTGGGTCATTTCAAACCTAGTACATAATCTGAAAGGTATTTAGATTATTTTATCATTTGAAATTATAAGATATGAATAAAAACAGTCAGGAAAACTCGGTCTTTTTTAGTTCCCGTTAAAACAGCAAACAAAATCAATTTGATCGGAGAAGTAGAATCTGTCTTGACGGGATGATGATATGAATGCGCTTCGGCCTAATGTACTCTTTACCGCCTATATGTTCGACGAAACCAATATTTGTTGTCAATAGATTATGCTTTGGAGGTAATGGATAAATATCATACTATTAGCAGTAATTTTATTGATTTTGACTTAGATTTACATTGAAGCCTTTTGTAGAAGCAAAGCCTGACATTGAGATGTCGTACAAGTTTTCTGATACAAGGTGCTGGATAGAATGTAGTGTAACAGATATGCCAGCCAATTCTGAGGTATATGATTTTGATTAATAATTTAAATCATCTGATTCGGCCTTTTGGTAATTTTGTTTAAAGCGCACTGATGAGTCTTACGTAGACGAAATGCACGTCTTCAAATTATAAGCCTAGGATCTTTGTTGAGTTTTATATATAACGTTATATAGCACCAATGTAACCGTATCAATCAAATAATTACAAAGTCAGGAATATGACCACTGTTTAACAGTTGTTTGAAATGTTTGAGCTTTTAATTTTTCCATTTTGAATTTTCCTTGGACATGTTGGAGTTCGGTATTTTTGTATTTTTTCTTTTTACAACATTTTCTACTATTGCGTCCCTTGAAAATTTACTTGATAAAATAAAACAACGTCAACAAATACTACTATGTATACTGTTGAGACTACACACGTCCTATATAAATGCTGCTACGATTGACAATCGTATTTACCTACACGTTTTTGTTCAAGTGTGTTTGTGCTCTATTTCTGACACGTAGCGTTGTCATTTTAGCGATATTTTTTAGACATTGCCATAAAAGCGGGAGGTTTGGCTAGCCATAAAAACAGGTTCTACCACCATTTTTTTCTTAAAATGTCCTGTACCAAGTCAGGACTATGGCAGCTGTTATTGAATAGTTCGTTTCTATGTATGTTGGCGTTTGTTTTTGTTGCACTTCAGTTTTCGTCTTATAGTTGATGTGTTTCCTTCGGTTTTAGTTTGTAACCCGGATTTGTTTTCTCCCAATCGATTCATGACTTTTGAACACCTGTTTACAACTGTTGTCTTTATTTATCTATTAATCTTGATATGATGGAATACATTCGACCTCATAATATAATACAGACTTCGTTTTGTCCAATATAGTTTGCTGCTTTGTCTTTTAAACTGATCAGCTTTAATAACTTTAATTATAACAATGTTACAGTTATAAGGTAGCTACTTTATTACTTTTTATCACAACATGACAAAACGAAATTAAATATGAATATATCAACGATTTTTAATACGTTGAAAAGTCAGTCTTCGAATTGAAAAAAGTTTCAGAACTGCTTCTAAGCATCTAACAACAGAAACGAAAGGCGGAAATAGCAAACTGAGTTTGAAGACGAATTGAAAATCGCATGGCAAAAAAAAAAATCGACTAAAAGACAAACAACAGTATCATGAGTATACAAAACACTACATAAACATTTAAGCAACATAAACCACAAAAAATAACGGGGGTGACCTAAGGTGCTTTGTAAGGATAGGCACTTGATAAAATTGTGACACTCGTCGTGTTGATCACCAAAAAATATGTTCCAGATTAATAATGATTAATGTAAAAAGTAAATCTAGAATCTCCGACTTTATCAAGTATATGCACCCCTGAAAAGAAATAAAACCTAAAGTTCAATGAATTTTATCAATACAAGACATTGACTATTTGCAGGTACTTTTATCGAAGATTTCATCAGAAGACAACTCTGTTTATTGTAAGACCTATTACATTGATTATTATGTTATAGAAGTGCATAGCTGTTTTAACTTAGATATTTGTTAAGATTGAAGGATATCGATATACAAATAATAGCGATTTATTCATTTAACATGTTTGAAAATAAATGCACTCTTTTACTTCAATCATGGGTTCGAAAATGATGAAAACATAGATCTCAATCTAATTTAAATTCAAAATTAAGGAGATGTGGTTTGATTGCCATTGATAGAACTATCCACCAAAGCTCGAATGAGGTGACAGGGTATATATCCTTTCCTCACCTCTAACAACAAAATAAGACAATATGTACAGATCTTAGAGTACGCACAGTCACTGACAGCCAATCCAGAAGCCAAAAACAACTACAGTACTTGCAACCCTTAGGTGTTACTGTTTGACGGGAACCTGACTGATCGGTGAATGATCGATGGCGGATAGAATCCGTCAGATACGTCAAATAAACTATGTGAGAGTTATAGTGACAACGGTCAGCGATCCATCAGAAATTTAGTATATGCACAGATCGAACGGAGACGTATATAAATATTTTTTGTTATGTAAAACGAACTCTTCGGTATTTACATGCAATAAACGCAGACCTCTACGAATACGCCTAATTTGTAATCTAGTTGTAATGTTTCTGTATTACTAAAATGAGATAAAATGTTATCATTTGAAATAAGTACCCTATTTAGCAATTTTGCATTTTAATGTCACTAAATAATGAAAATATAAATAATATAACAGTAAAGATACTTAAAGCTTTGTTTGGGTTGATTCAGAGTGCAATTATTTTTTTTATTTTAATGGAAATCATGAACCGCCAATAGAATTTATTACTTTTTGTACATCAGGATGGGTTTTTTTTTCAAATAGTGATAAATATCAGAGTAAAGCTACCAAAATTGTGTTCGTATTTTAAAAAAAAGCCAATATTTCTTCTTTTTATCCACTTTTATGCATTGTTTTTTGCAAAATTATCTACCGTCATTAATGATTTTATTTTAGTACTTTCTGTACATCAGGATTGGTTGTTTTTCATAAAATATGCTAAATTTCAGGGAAAAGATAATAAAAACATGTTCGCATGGCTTAGAAAGCAAATATTTCTTACTTTATATCAGAAATAATGAAACGTTATTTGCAATCAGTCATTATGAATACCTTTAGATAAGTAATTTTGTATAATTTGTGAATAATATAAGGATAATGATACTTAAACTTTTGTTTGTGATGAATAAGAATGCATTGATTTTTTTTTATTTTAATGTAAATCATGAACCGCCATTGGAATTTAGTACTTTTTGTTTATAAGAATGGGTTGTTTTTTACAAAGAGTGATATATATCAGAGAAAAGACAGGAAAATTGTGTTTGCATTGTTTACATATGCCAAATTGTTTCATTTTTCTATAAAAAAAATGCACTGTTGTTGGCAATCAGTTATTTTAGATGCCTCTGAATAAATTCTTTTATGAAATAATTTAAGGATAAATATGTATAAACTTTTGTTTTTGTTGAATAAGAATGCAGTTATGTCTTTATCGATTTATTTCAATGGTTTCAATGTTTAAAATACCAATATTTCTTCTTTTTATCAAAGATAATGCACTGTTGTTAGCAATCAGTTAATTTAATTCCCTTTAGATAAGTTACTTTATTTATAAAATCTGAATATTATAGGGACTAAGGTACTTAAACTCTTCTTTGTGCTGAATAGGTGTGTAATTTATTAGATTTAATAACACAAAACCATCATTGGATAGAATTATTTTTGTTGGGTTATTCTCCAAAAATATGTTGATTTTTGAGGGAAAATATACTTAATATATTGTATGCATTGTGTTCGAGTCTCCAACTTGCATATATCTTTATTTCATTGAAAATGATACACCGAAATTTGTAATAAATGATCATTTTATTTAATTTTTCAGGAAAAAATGTAACAGTCCGATTATCAGCACTTTAGCACTTTTCGGATTTGAAAACAATAGCCTTAATATAAACGATAATCACAACTATTTAATGATATTTAAATTTAGTTATATCTGCATATTTCTCTTCTCTTTTAATTTTTAAAACTTAGCTGAAAGATTAAGGATTAAATGCCGAGCTTCTGTACTTAAACGATTCGTTTTCAGTGGCGCCATTTTGATTTAATGAAACGGAACTAAGATTCCGTAATTTGTATGAGCTCAACATGTGACGTAGAAGAGTTCAATCCGTCAGAAAGGTCGATCCGTTCGATCATCCGCTCATTGATTGCTAAAATAGTAACTCCTAAGGTTACTGACAGCTAGTCTTAAAGACAAAAGCAAATAATAAACAAAAATCATGTATCTAATACTAAATATCAATCGATTCACATCCAACATCCAATGCACTGAGAGTTAACACGATAAAGACGTCATTAACAGTCAGAAAAAAACATGACTTTGTGTTGCTATTCAGTATACAAAGTTTGGTAAATGAGTTGACATTGTGTGTTATTGCTTCATAGATATGAATAAATGGGAAGTAGGTGCGATTCTCAGTTGTCTTTTTTTGCTTTGTTATCGTAATCTATCATTTGTGTGTTGTGCCCCGTTCGTTATCCTTTCAATCAAAATATCCATTTGACTGTACAATATTGTGATTTTCCACACACACACATATATATATATATATATATATATATATATATACCTGTGGTTTTATAAAACTGACTTTGCTATTTTAGACTTTTCGAAGGGACATCCTCAATACAGATTTTACAATTATCATGATGAGGTGCAAACAGATGTTATGGTTCAGATACTATCTAATTACGTGCAATAGGAAGGTGAATACATGTGTACAGTAAGAGAGAAAACTCCTGATCCTACAACATGGACAACAGAACCTGTATACATAAAATATACAAGTACGTAAAATGAAAATAAAATACTACCACAGATAATTACAATGTCAATGAAAAAGACATTGCTTAAGTGGTGCAAATGATTTTGATGCAAATTATGATCGTACATACGATTTACCCGATGAAATTACATATAGCGCATGAATAGATGAAGATGGTAAATTATTTGCTTATTTCGCTCATTTGTGGTTATGTATTTTATCCTTCAATACAGTGAACATTTTTAATTTTTCGATAGTGGCCTGACAACAAATACTACACGCTAAAATCGACTTTATAGTTACATGAACAAATAAAGAGACGTTATGATAACACTGATATGAAAAAAAAAAAAAATAAAAACCCCAAAAACAGCAAGCATTTTGAGGTTTATATACGTGATAAAAAATTAATCCTTTAACGACTGTGCGAATTCGCAAATAGAAAAAAGCAGACAGAATCATTATGTATAAAAATACCCTAGAGAAGTATGAGATATCTTCTGACAAAAATTTGTGTAGCAGAGGTGCAATTTAGATTAAAATTGTTGCCATTTCGTATTTACATTTATATTCCATACATGTCACATGTAATGTCTGTAAAAACTAATTTTGCCAACCTTTGAAGCCAACGAAATTAGAAAAGATAATTAACTACAACGTAAAAATTGAGAATTTAGTGTTGTTCATTTAAAATAAAATGTTCGTGTTGGAAAATATCATGGAAGTTGTCTGGTATTGTCACCACTGGGAGTATTATACAAATTCTAAGTTTCAACAGACAGGAAAATAAAACAAAATTGAAGCCTATTATACAGAAACAGTGTCGGTTTAATATTGATATAAACTTTGATAAAATACTAACTTGTCTACATAAATGCTACGAATATTTCGAAAAGCCAAAGTCCGAACAACGTTGAATACAATTCAAAAAAAAAATTTGTTTTCTCTTTCGTAGAAGAGGAATTATTGTCTTATTCGTAACAGAGATGGATTGATTTCTTAATAAAAACATGCGAAGTGTACACTTTTCTACTTCACACATACGTGCAATGACTTTGGGACATTATAAGTGGTATGTGAACATGAACAGATGAAAAATAAATTACTTCAGCAAAACAATAAGGATTAATTGATGTAGGAAAGAACAATCAATAATAAAAAAAGACTTAATTCAATGAATGAGTCATACATCTTTATAAGTATCAAATCTAATGTCCTGAACAAAATACAATATAATTCAGATGAATAATAATGATTCTTTGATAGTGGATGTGAATTAGAATACTAAACATTGAAAATGTGACTCCCTCTTAGCATACTAATACACTTTGCTATATGTTTCTGGACCGTGGGTTTGAAGTTCCAGAGCGGAACATTTTGCATTTCCCATGATACACCCAATAGATTAAGGTTACGATTAAAGTATCTTAAGGTAAACACCTTTAAAATATTTCTTACAGAAATGTTGTATCACGGATTTTTGTCATGAACATACTAATACATTTTTACATCTAACGTCATTCAACCCTCCGATATCACCGGGCCTTTACAGTGTTCATGCATCATTCTTAATGTATTTTTATATAAGGAGGCGCGGCGCGATTGCAAATGAACAAATATCCACTAAAGATCAAATGTCGTGGACGTTATCAACGATACGTCTCCGTATGAACTTCAAAAATGATCGTAAACAGATAGAAAGCCAACCAAATTCTTTATATCGATATATATTTTTAATGCAATCTCTTTTTATTTGACTATTGCAGCTTCTCCAAAAATCACAGACTATAAGTATGATAGAAATTTGAAACTACAGTTTTTAGTTAATGGTACCGATTTTCAATACGAATGCATTGCGACAGGCATCCCAAAACCTAATATAACATGGACAAAAGTAGGCGATGAACAGTTTCTGTCAGTGGTAAGTTTGTATCTGTATTATAAGTAACTGTCTGTCGCCATGTACGTTAAAAGGCGATGCTGACTGTTATTTGTCGATTTTTCTATTTTAGAAGTTTCATAATCAGATCGTTTCTTTAATTTAAATACAAAATTTGCAAGTGAAGAGAATTGAATTTTGCAGTATTGGGCTAAATAAAAATAAAAAATAAAAAAA